CACGCTGACTTGTCCGTATTTGGATGCAGCCCTGATTTCAGGGGGTCATTGTTTACAGAGGTGTCTGTTCTCCACACTGGCTTGTGAGGCTGTCCAGATTCGTTCATGTCTGTGTCCTCAGTTCTTCAGCCGTGTCTGGAGTCCAGTAGGTGCTACAGATGTTTGTTGGAGAAATGGGTGAATAAATGGACGAGTGGACCAAGCCCCTGCTCTCCTTTCCAATTTGCTCGCCACCCCCCCTTAGGGGAAGCCTTGCCGGGCAGTCCCTCATCCCCTTAGCATTCTCCCTGTCCCCTTCCCTCCCAGTGCCAGGCTCCAAGCTGGCATTGGTGGCTCGTCTGTAATGCTGCTCTGTCTCTAGGGCCCCGTGTCCCTCACCCTCCCAGAGCTCCCTGAGGGCAGGGGCTGTGTGCTGCTCCCTGGCCTGGCCTGGCCTGGCCAGACCTGCTGGACATCGGGCTGAGTGTGGACCCCGAGCCCGGGGGCTCTGCCGCCCCGCCTGCCTGGGTTCCTCCTGCCCAGAGGGAAGCCCTGTCCTTTCGCTGGGGGAGGGGACGTGTGGCTGTTCACCAGCAGCACGTGAGCGGGCTTTTGTTCCTCCTGATCTGGAAAAGAGGGGAGGAGGAAGATGGGGAGGGAAAAGGGGAAGGAGCCAGAAATGTGGACTTTTCCCCCCATATACCTTTGGTATTCACACTGTGTCTTGGCTTTCAAAGTGTTTCACATCTCTTGGAGCAAGACAGGTTCTAACAGCCTCACATTTTTATAGCTCTTTGTGCTTTTCAAAGACCGTCCCTCTGATCTCACTGGGTTCACTCTGTCCTCAGGCCACCTGGGCACGTAAGCAGGGGATGGGATGGTTTGCTGGAGAGTCAAGTAGGCCCGGGTGGGTGGGGACTCAGTGCCCCTCCCCGGTATACACAGCCCGGGTGGGAGTGGGGAGGAAGGAGGCGGCCCCAGGAGGAGACCCCCTGGGCTGGGAATCACTCGACCAGACCAGACGCTCTGGCCAACCCAGTCCTTCCTTGGTGAGGGCTGGCCACAGATTTCCCGGAGGACCCTTCCCCAGCTTGCCGCGTGTGTTCCCCCTTCTCTTACAACAGTGAGGGTGAGTTTACCAGCCCTTCGTGCAGGGAGTAGCCACAGCGGTGGATGTGAGGTGATGAGAGATGGTCTCGTGCCTGGCTGTGATTTGAAGCACATTCTTGGGCCTCAGGGTCTCATTGGCCTCCTCCCCGCACCCCACGTCCCCTGCCAACCCTGCTCCAGGCAGGCTTTGTGGGGCTGTGGACCCCCATCGCCATGTGCGTTTATCAGGGCCTCCTCAGATCAGTGTTATTGCAGGGCCTGGACTATGGTCTTCGCAAAAGTATTTGCTTTTTTGGTCTTAAAGACACAATCTAAGTGAAATCAGAGCCCTCAGCTGGCAAACGCGTTTTCAAGGTAAATCCTGAGGCAGCCCGTTCCATGCAGTTGCCTCTTCTGAGTCCGTCATACAGAGGAATTCTTCCTGGGCCCCCTTTAATCCGTCAAAGTGGGGCTCTTACTAATGCCCTCCCCTCAGAGGGTGGTTGCGAGGATTAAGGGAATTAACGTGTCAGAGTCTCCCTCACGGGTGGCACGTAAGGTGACCCTGTTCGAGTGAGTGGGGCTCTTGGGACTCGCCGTGCTGCTGTGATTGTTGCCATCCGTCACTCCTGTTTGACCCCTGCAGGAGGATGCGCCGTCCCGGGTACCGGCCTCAGCTGCCCTGGGAGTTTGGCGCAGGCTGCTGAGAGCAGGGGGGAGCCGGGTGCCCCCCCAGGGTGGGCATGTGTGAAGGGGCCCTTGGTGAAGGAGGGACACAGCTCCCCCGCGGCCCTGGGCTGTCAGGGCTGGAGAGCCACCAACCTCGTCTTGTCCACTGTTTTCTACAACTGTGAGCCAGAAAAAAAAAAAAAGACGTCACACAGACTTCTCTTCAATTCTAGAATAGAATACTAATCTGGTTCAAGCCTATTTTCCAGACAACTGAACCCAAAGAGGGCAGGCGAGATGCTCGAGCTCCCCCAGTGAGCTGAATAAAAGCGGAGCCCTCAGGTTCTGAGCACGGCACTGTTCCTAGCACCCCTCTGGTCGAAGTCACTGTATGACCCCTCCTTTCCATCAGAGTGAAGTAAAACAGCCTAGCGTGCCATCGAGGGCTTTCGGCCATCCCTCCAACCTCCCCCTTCCCATGGAAGAGCCCAGTGAGCAACTTACATGCTCGCCTCCTGGGCTGCCCATCTTGGGGCCTCCGCCCTCTGTCCCCACGTCCTCTTGACTCCCCCACTTGCACCAGGTCTCCAGACGTACCAAGGCTCGCTCTTCCAGAGGCTTCCTGCCTCTCCAGACCAGAGATGACATTTCCCTCCCCCAGGTGCCGGGGGACTTTGCCCGGGCCTCTTGGTGGCTCCTCACGTCCCCTCTCCCTTCTCCCTCCCGAGACTGCGCCCGCACCTCCCTGGTCCCTGTATTCCCAGGGCCTGGTGCACTGAGGGGCCAGGGGCACGTCTGTGGGATGGAAGGGGACGAGCCACGCCCAGGTGGGGCAGGGTGAGCAGAGGCAGCTTCCCATCTGGGAGGGCGGCCGCTCCTCCCCTGGCTGCTTGGGACCTTCGTTAGAGCGGAAACTCCCAGTGTCTTCATGCTGCCTGAAACCGCCCACTACTGCAG